TATTTAGGGGGCTGGTAATTTATAAAAGTCTCTGGAACTGGACCCCAATACATACTACAATCCCTTAGAAGGTGCTAATGGGTACCACATGTATTCTAGCTTGAAATTCATCGAGTTAAAGACTTAAAATAAGTTAAGTTTTCCCCTAATTCAACACTTCAGTAAGCTTCAAACCGCTTCCTGGTAATGACCACCACTTTTTGAATACGTACTATGTGTTCTGCCCAATGATACGCATTTTGATATGCTAAGTGATTTACTTAATTCCTTCAGTGTAGATGTTATCACCACCCCCATTTGCAGATAAGGGAACAGTTAACAAAATTACTTGCCCAAGTGACTCCATACATTTTATGGGAACTGAAGGGAACCTCTGAGTTATTCATGCAGTTCCTCAAAATGATATTGCAACATAGTTTCTATAGTTTTATACCAAGGGCATTGCAACATTAAAACATCAAAAATTGAATTTTAAATTACTTGAATCCCATTATGTGCTGATTTACTAAAATACTACTCTTAACCTTTGTATCCCCAGTAGAGTTCATGTCACTTAACAGGCCCTCCGATATTCATCCAAAAAATAAATGACTGTACCACGAGATACTTCTCAACCAAACAGTATCTCTCCTCTGGGGGAGGCTGGAAATGCATGGGAGCACTTGGGGCTGTCCTAATGTGGGGTCACAATCAGCATTTAGTGGATGGGGGTTAAACAAAGGATAGACTAGCCCAAAATGCCAAAAGCACCCACACAGAAACACTAGGCTGGTTCACAAGCAAAACTTTCATGATAAAGTTAATCCATCTGTTAATCAGAATATTTTATAAATATATTCCTATTCATTGATAGTTTGCTTAAAATACTCTAGGAAATACATTAATCTTTCTATAGAACACCATTTTTTAATTTATCTGGCAGTTTATTTTAAAATATACACACACAAAAATCTCATATTAGCTATAAAGCCAAGGCGTCAATTCTTCATCCCATGATGTACCCAAAGCACTTTTCCTCTACTGCCTCCCTCTCTCCTTTTTTAACTCAACAGACGTGTAGCCGATTTACACAATGGTACTTTTAAAAG